TTTCGCAGTAGTGTGGCTGGTACACGGGGAACAGAGGAGTCCTATTTGACCTTTTTGCCAGTTAAATTTACTGCAGGATTTTCTTGTGGTGGATTCCACAACTCCAGTTGAAACTTGTAATGTGGCATAATCATAAGCCTTTTAGAGGCTTGCAAGACCGCAGTGTTCTTTGTAAGAGACTTTTTTGACAAAAATTAATGCTACGGTGGCCTCAACAAAACTGTTCGCTTTGATTTCTGAAATATAATTATTTTCAGGAGCTCAACGCTCCAGCACTATTGGTATGTAGAGAAGGTTGCCTCTTGTCAATATTTACTAAACTTCAAACTGCATACTGTAAGTTGGTTGGATGTAATGTGTAGATTGTAATGCGTAGGTATGTACTCCCTAGACTGTTTTTGTAACTGTAGTGTAAGTCTAACTGTAATTGTTGTAATTGTTCGAGCAAATAAAAAAAAAAACTTCAAACATCAGAGCTGAAATTTACAATAGCAGTTTCCAGCAACTTCCCCTCTGTCATCTAAAACATTCCCAATGCATATTACAAAAGTCAACATTTGGTCATATTTAGAGTTAACTGTTAATTTAAGATTAGAATTGTAGAGTATTGTGCAAAAGTAATGAGAGCGAAATGTGCAAATTTCGTTCTTTGTCTCCGCGAACTTTCGAAGAAAATTCGCCCGAAAATTCGAGCGTCTTTTCGCAATGTCTTGAGCATTATTTCTTTAAAACAAAGGACGAAAATTCGCCGCATTTTCAAGACCAGAACGAAAATTCCTTACCTGAGGGATAATTCTCCTTGCAGTATGCGAAATATCGCAGTGCAGTGTGCTGACCAATATCGAGCCATCAATGTACAGTTCTCTTGTGAACAGTCGCGGTCATGTAGACACTTTACTCCTCTATAAAATTTGCTGTTGTTAATGTGTTAATCTGTCTTGCATCGTGAAGAACGTAGAGAATTTCAATCCTTTGATCGTTTTCAATGACGCAAACTCGCTAACTTAAGCTTTGTCACGTGGACGAGCCAGCAACGCAGGTACAAAAGTCGGACCGTTAGTCCGGGTCAACTTGGACGAAAGTAAAATTCTTAATAAGGTCTTTTTGAAGGTCAACTTCACCTCAAAATTCATCCAAAGTGACATCAAATTCAGCGATCGATGGACAAGCAGACATGTTTTTCTAGTGCCAGGTCTCCATATAGCCCCCCAAGTGCCCAGTCCCCTCAGCTGTTATCACGTTCGCCACGTTCTCGTCCACCCACCAGGATCAAATTATTCGCAACAATTCCTCTTTATTTCACGCTTGTGAAAGAGATGGAAACATGCGACCGCACTTGAGCATGTTGGAAGTGCAAAGAAATGGGATTAGGGAAGGAAAATTGCGGAGACATTCGCATGGCAAGTGCAAAAGGGAGCCACACGGCTGCCACGAGCCAAAGGATTCTTACTCGAACTGCGCCGAAATGAGATGCCCTTAGTTAAGCTTATACTGTACTCCCACTGTAAGAAACTGGCCTGAATGCAAATATGGCGGATCACTTGGTCGGTGCCCGGGACGAGTTGCATGAAAGCGAGGCTAGTGAGGCTTTGATGTTTTGTTTTGACAATGCTTCCCAGAAAAGTCTTGCTTTGTCGTCGATCTGCTCTGTTTCATTTAGCTGTGGCTACGAGCTGCTGTGTTTCTGAACGCCACGAGAAGGGATATAAATTTTCCACCGTTCG